ACTCCCGCCTATTCTCCAAAGTTGTAGAAGATTCTCGAGAGTAAGAATCAACAATATATGTGTGTAACAATATATATGTAAACGCATGTTGGATATTTCTTCAGTCATCCCCAGGATCTACTACTACTTTCACACCATTAAATTTTAGTGTTAGGTTTGGCAGATCTGGTTTAGTTAATGGCTTTTTTTGTGTTTTTTTTCTTGGGATTCAAAACTTCCTTCTTTGAACATTGCTCTCGTTTACTAACCACTGTCCTTAAGTTCTTTGTTTCCTGTTTACATATTTTATTTTCTTGGGACAATGCATAGATAAATGCCCTATGTGATTACAAGTATAGCTGGTCTATTATGACGTTCAGTTTTCTTAATTGCTTCACTATTAATAGTTTCTGTTTATTATTCCGAGCTAAGTCCATCTGCTCTGGCGCCGTCACGGCCGTGCCTGTCCCATACATGGACTATGATCCTGTCTGCAAGGCGCGGCTTTGTGCCAGTTGGCAGTCGACTTGGGGTAAGAAATGTCATAACAAGCTTTTTCGGATCAAACCTTCTGTTGGTCTTTGGCCATCTTGCTTCCATAAGGATTGGAAGGAGGAAGTTGCTCTGGCAAGGCTACGCATTGGTCACAGTTTTTTAACTCATCATTTTTTTTTATCTGGTATTGACCCACCAATGTGTAGCCATTGTGACACTCAAGTCACAACAGCCCACATTTTACTGTCGTGCCGTCGTTTTAGACATGTGTTTCGTAAGAGTTTACCCCTGACATTGGACAGTGTCATCGGTGATGGTGACACTGTCCGACTAGATTGTATTTTTAATTTTTTACGCACTATTGGCCTTTTTAATTGTATATAAATATTTTATCCAAATTTTGGACATATTTTGGTTTTAACTCACTGTATTTTTACATTTTACTCTAATTTACTTTCACTGTTTTTACTGGTTGTTTGGCGCAGATAGCCTCGTTGCCTTGTGCCATAAAACACCAAACAACAACAATCTACAGGTGATATACATGAGAGTAGAATGTAACACAACAATAGTTTTCACATTCTGTATCTAAAGACCACTTTTGGCCAAAGAGTTGTAACTGAGACATTACCACTTTAACTCTTCTAACTGACATTCTGACCAATCAGAATACGATTTATCATACATTACTGACATTCTCAACTTAAAATCATATTCTTTTCCCTTCTGGCCTTCTTGTTCCCACTAGCTATTTCGTTGCTGCCACTCAATCGAATTTCGTGCACCACAAAGGAAAGAGAGTGCTCTCAAAGTTTCTCTTAAGAGATTTACCTAAAGTTTCTGACTACTCAGCAATCCCTAAGATTCCAGGAGTGGACCCGAAGTTCAGCCAGGCAGAGTCAGCGTTCATAGTTAAAGATGTTTTACTTATCGACTCTGTGACCAAGCATGCTCTTTCGGAAAATGTGACCAGCTTAGTTCTGAAGTTTCCTGAGGTCTCAACATCTCAGACCACTGAGAATCATATAGCAATTATTGAACTGCGATGAGAGTTGTCTGCAGAAATTGATCTATATACCACAATCACCACCTCTTTAGAGCCCTCCAAAGGGTATCCAACCATGAATCAACAGAACACCTTAGTGAGCTTGAGTCATCTGAACCTTCACAGGTTCAGCATAGGATCCTGAAATGTTCCTTTGGCAAGTGACAGAATGAGAAAAGATACCATCACACAATGGAAGGACCACCACATTATGAAGCCAAAAAACCTCTATGAGCTAGTCTTACCAAAGCTCATTCAGGAAGGTCTGGCCACCACAGAACCAGGTATCAGGGGTTATCAGCACAGCCATCATTGGCTAAAGCTTCCATAGTTTAATAATAGATGCTGTATTTCCTCTGTCTGCCAAATTACTGTGAGCCAGGGGATCTTATACCAAATATTTTGGTATCTCTACGACTTTTCAAATAGGGTACACATCTAAACGCAAGTAGATCTGACACTTAATTGGATAACTTTTGCAAACTCATCGTGATTCTCGAAACCAAAAACAAAAAATACTTCGATAATTGGTTATAGATGAAGACGGTAAATCGGCAGCCATTTGCTTGTATTTCTTCTCGTCTTCTTAATATCAATCCTACATCAAAGTTCCGACTAATCTCTTTTTGGAACTTATGTCCAAGATAACAAACTTTTTTCGTAGCTTTCTCTCTTCCATGGTGGCGTCAGTCTATAGATATGAAACTTGTGTCCAGTCTTTAATGAAGTCTACGTAAACTCTCTCATTGCTGTGATAGCATTGGTTTATAGATAATATAAAAATATATTTCTTTAATATGAATTAGAATGTATCATTGATTTATACTTTTTCTTTCTTGACCAGTCGTTGTTATGGTATGGAGCTCTAGATTTTCATATGTATTAAAACATCTTATGTTTTCATTTTTTATACCTGTATGCATATGCTACTCCATATATTGAACAAATTTATTTTGTTTATGCCTTTTATGTATATGATATGATATTATTTTTCTCTCCTTTCATGTCTGGTATGGCATGGTAGTTAAGATACTCGACTGGCAATCTGAGAGTCGTGGGTTCGAGTTCCCGACACCGAACATGCTCGCCGCATGGTCAATCTCACTATTTGTTGGTAAAAGAGCAGCCCAAGATATGGTGGTAGATGTTATCGACTAACTGCCTTTCCTCTAGTATATCCCTGTTAAATAAGGGATAGCTAGTGCAGGCAGACTTCTTGCAGTTTTGAGTGAAATACAAACCAACCAATATCGTTTCATTATGATTATATATTTGTATAGGCACGTATATATTCATGTCTGGACATTATTAATATGTATTAAAATTATTGTGTAACTTGTAGTTACCTCCACCACCGAGTGTGGACGGAGATTATGTTTTCACCCTTGTGTATGTGTTTGTTTGTGTGTGAGAGAGAGAGTGTGCTTGCTTGTGTGTTTGTCAGCACAGTCTCTTTCTTTGCTTCAAATTTAAGGTGAATGTCAAGGTTATTTCCGGGTTTTGGTTAAGCATATATAAGCCTGTTTACAAACCATCTCAGTCTGTACCTGATTATGCATTTACTGGCAAAACCATGGTCGTTAATAAATGAAGTACTTGTGAAACGTACAATTTTCGTTACTTTTTTCTTCTCAATTCTGTAATTTAGTTATGGTTAGATAATTCAAATTTTCTGCGTGCATTTTCTGTCGAACATTCTGTTAACCTCTTGGTTTACCTGATTATTCTGAAGGGCAATCAGTACACCTGAGAGTACAGTAGTTTATTGTTTTTACCACTTTGAGTCTTGAATGATATTTTTAGAAATTATCTGTATTTTTTCTATGTCTTTTACAACAAAACAAATGAAGACCTATTCTAGAAGATCACAACCACAATCAAAAAAAGTTTAATATCACTTGATTAAAATCACTTGCAGTCTTTTAGATAACATTGTTCATTGGAATTAGGATCAGATTTATGTTTAAATGCTTTGTGGAAGAAATCAAAACTTTGCTTCGTCTTTACTCTCTGCTGATATTGTCTAATCATATACTGATACCAATGGTGTTTTATGACTTACACTCTCTTAACCTTTTATGGCAACCTGCAGAAAGTTGTGCGTTTATTTAAACTTCTTACGTTTCATAGGTCAAAACGGTCGAAATGTTAACTGCATACTTTCCTTATAACTACTTTACAGATTTTAAAATCTTCATACGTGACAATACTTTTACTACATTTGTACAATATACAATACTGTAACTACATTTGTTCAGTATTTTTTTGCCTTATGAAATTGTAGTGTTTTTATTTTTTTACTGAAATTCATAAATTTCACGAAAAGCCCAAAACGTCAATGCAGTAAAAACTGTTATTAGCTTTATAATTTGTATTTATGTCTTATAAAACTTTTTTCTAAAGCAGTGTTGCATTTATATGGTGCAGCGATACGAAAACCTTTTATCTTTTAACCTACCAAATAAAACAAACAAAATAGGCTTAAACATTATCATTTTTATGCGCAAGTCTGAAATCAATCACTTTATAGCTATGGTAGAAGTAATATACATATACTAGTGTTTGGTAACAGTCCCCAGAGTCATTTCACAAAACAGATAGTAAACAAACCTTGACATTTAACCTCATGCCTCGAATATGTAATCAGCGGAAGACTTGTCAAAAACAATGTGAGTGTTCTACTAATTAAACTGAAGGACGAGCCCAAAAGTTATCTTGAGTGAAGCCCACTAAAAAAACAACAAAAAAAATACCACCAACGATTTAAACTACTACAATAATTTATTGTGGCTTCAATGATTCAGTGGTTAATTAAAAAAAAACACAACGTTTTACAAAACGAGGACAAACAAAAGTTCTACTAACATCAATTGGTGGAGTAATTAAACTAAACTCTGTCTAAGAAAACATCCGTTTCTTTAAATTTATTTAACTGATTGCTAATCTCAGATTCGATTATGAAGACATAATCGTTAACTCGCCCATAAATCGTCAGCTACTAGATTAGTCTTAGACGGATATATATACGTTCCACCATATGTTAATTCTTCGACAAGTACTGTGTATATTTGTGAACATTTTTGACAATTGTTTCAATAATTTTTAACGGCAAATCGGCTTTTGCTAAAACCTGATGTGTTTATATTATCTATTAGTGTATATCACAGTTTGTTTTTAATTATGCACAAAGCTACACAAGGGCTATCTGTGCTCTGCCCACCACGGGTATCGACACCCGGTTTCTAGCGTTGTAAGTCTGCAGACATGCCGCTGTGCCACTGGGGGGCTATATCGCAGTTACAGTTTATATAGTGTAACACGTGTATAGAGAAGTTGGTGAAGAAATTTTGAAACATCTTCTACACATATTCGTTTTATTCGATTTGAACCTAAAAATGTTTCATATAAAGCAATGTTTACCGAGTAACATGCTAACATTCTCACCGTTCTTACAAAGAAATAACATTTAAATTGGGTTTTATAACTCATATATATATATATACACATATATATATTTATTTTGCATTAGAAAACGCTGATGATGTTCGTGGGAGGACTAATGGTAGCAACAGCAGTGGAACACTGTAATCTTCATCAGAGGATTGCTCTGCGTGTGTTACTATGGGTTGGAACAAGCTTGAGATGGGAAGATAAGTTTATAATTAAATAATTTAGAGTTTGTTATATATATCTATATAAATTACCTGTAGGGTTAAAGTTTCTTAATGCAATATAACAATTTCAAATACTAATAGAATAAAATTGGTTGTAATCATAATAAGTGCTCTTTTCAGTATTCCTCTTGAACATTAGGACCAACCCTGGGAAAAATATAGTTTAAGGTTTGTGAATTATAAAGAAATATTTATGTAGAGATAAAACATAGAATCTTTCCTTAATATGTGGTAAAAGTGTTATCTGTTGCTGGGGAAAACCACGTTGGGCTAACTGCTGTTTCCATCGCGGGAAATCGAACTCCGGATTATAGCATTGTAAGGCCATAAAGTCATTACTGGTAAAAGTAAGAGCAATTCCGAAAATTCTTAAAGATAGTAAAATGTTCTTCATTAGGAAAATTTGCAATTATCGTAAAATAAAGTTCTGTAACGAATCGTTTTATTTATTACAGATTAAAAATTAACCCAATTTGTGAATTAAAGTCATACAATGTAATCACCTGAGAAGTGCGAATGTAAATAAATTTTTTTATTTGTTGAATCAAGCCTTTCCCTGTGCGTTTCAGCGGTAAGCCTGAGAGCTTTTAATGCTAAAGTTCGAGGTTCATTTCCCGAGATGAGCACGGCCCACTGTGCAGCTTTTTGCTTAGCAATAAACAAATAAATGAATTCAATCTATTTTATATTCTACATGTTATTCTTAAAAGTTCGTCTCTATGTATAAACCAAAAAACGCAGATTTATAAATTAGCCATTCATCTTGAGCTTATGAGTTGAAGAAGGTGTTCAATGCTGACCACCTTTTTTTGTTGTTGTTCACATGTTGTATTTGCAGGTTAGTCATAAATTCCAGGTTAAATTGACTGTTTTCGAACATCTTTTACAGGGAACAATGAGAACAGCAACATTTTTAATATCATGTATTTGTAGGTTGGTGTTAAGATTGGTTTTCACTTCCATGTTCTCATACATCTTGTATTTACAGGTTGATGCTAGGATTCATGCTGACCACAATGTTCTTGTCCATGTGGATCAGTAACACAGCTGCTACAGCTATGATGGTACCTATTGTTGAAGCTGTGCTAGAAGAAATTTCTGATGAACAGGAAACCAGAAAAGAAAATATCTCACTGAAAAGTATTAATGGTTATCTATCTATCTATCTATTCCTGTGAATTCAGATTGTCTGTCTTGTCTAAGTCTATATAGAAGTGGTTTAAAACATACTTAATAATACGCTGTTTATATGCTAATGTATGGACGATATGTATAGAACCTATATAGAATGAATTGAATATGTTGTAATAAAATGATTTTCATTGTGCAGAGGAGTAAGTAACCTGGCAGCAATAGCCGATATAAAATTGCGGTGGAACGGCTTGTATCAGAGCTACATTTTGACATTGTAAGGCAATTCGTGATGCAACCGAAAACTAATCGCTTCTGGAAAAGTTATGTAACGTCCCTTTCAGACGCAAAATATTCATACACTCATATTATAAAGATGTGTTCAGACCAGAGATTTAGAATTTTCAAGACAGAGATATCCTTTTTACCTAATGACATTGAAAAATATAGGAAAATGGATCCCCGTGGGGCATTTCTTATAACAGGTTAGAATCCACGAACACAAAGGCTTGTGGCAAAAGCTGTTCACACGCCCCAGGAAACAATATGCAACATAATCAAGAAGGATCTCCATCTGGAAAGGTGACACAAGCTGCTTCCTAGTTCAACCGCTGCATTTCTCATAGAGATGGTATTCCATTTGAAGAATCACTGGTCAAGTCACCAGATGCAGTGTTTATGATTTGAACTGTTGAAACAGGCACTAGGTAACCGTCTTCCTCATACACGAGGTAGATTATGAAAAGCAAGAAAGAAGGAATAATATACTTTAGACATGATAGCATTACAATAAAGGCTTTTGCAATGGAAACTACGCTGTAGACCTAACGTCAAGGTGCACAGTTGTCAGACAAAGCATGACTGACGTGTCGATGGGGGGGGGGGCTGTAATGGCGTGGTAGGCTTCAAAATAGTTCTAATATAACGTACTCAACCTCTGTATTTGATTCACCGCACATTATTGATCCCATAACAATGCAATAACACCATTGATGGATTATTTCATACTTCTTTGGAAGAAGGATATCCATATAGTGCAATTATTAAACAATGTAGACCCAAAGGACATAACACTTCAAACAAGAGCCTTTAATGTTCTCCATGAAAGAAAAAAGTGCTTTAGAGCAGAGCATTGACGACAATAATTTGTTACAAAGCACACTCAACTTAATCTGGATCAATGCCCTCATCCGCAATATGAAAGTTGTGATTACAAAAAGAAAATCCTGCCGCTCCGAAAAAGAATATTTTCAAGTATAATTAGCAAAATGGTAAACAAAAGTCTAAAGTTGACGAAGGCTTAGAAGCTCCCTGTCACATCTTTAATACAATGGACATTTCCATGAGAAAAATGGCTGAATAAACTGGAATCAGGGTAAGCTCATTCAATCACATACCTGTCAAGATTCCTGATGCAGCTCCAATTAACATCCATGTCTTTGGTATGTTTAAGCATGGTGTTGAGAGTTGACATTCTACAGTGAAGTATCTATGGAAATTTTGCCAAGACATTTGTAATTAACCCTTAGTACATATAACACCTTAATTTCATATAATTAAAAATTGATTTCGTTTTAAGAAAATCTAGTACTTTCACTTGAACGTTATGAACATTATAAAGCGATAGGTATTATTAACATGATAAAATTTCTGACTTTTTTATACCTCATTTTTCTAAGCTACAAATCTCCATTTGCAATTTCCTTAACTTCAAATATTTTAGAAAATATTATATGGATATAATATTTTTTTAGTTAGTTTCTTTTGGAATAGAAGCTACTAAATATTAGAAAAAAGAAAGAAAATATGAGTATGTAATGTATGTTAAGATTATTTGTGCTTCAGGAACTTTTATTTGTATTTGTTAAGAAATCAATCCACCAGATGGCAGCAATATGGAGCTCAATAATGGAATGGTGCAAGAAACCAACAGGTATTCACTTCAATTAATTTCCTTGTTAGATTGAATGTTTCTTTTAAAAAGGATTTTGGACATTGTATGTGACATGTTTTCATTGTTGCTTTACGAGACGTTCACGTTGTTTCTATTGATTTATATTTCTTCTTGATTTTATGACAACATTTCAGTAACTGTATTGAAGTCTCCTGGTGAATCAGCCGTATAATTACGCACGTATGATACTAAAATCCGAGGTTCGATACCACATGGTGAACACGACAGATAGACAATATGGCTTTGCTATTAATCAAATAACCACTGTATTGAATCTTTTGTATAATGTTATTTATACCTTCCATCATATACAAATACAAATAAGAAACTACCTAACTAAAATATGAGTATGAAGAATACTTCACTTGGCATAAATATTATATTAGATGGCGTATTAAATGATACATTTTAAGACTTAATCCATGTAAGATTTTGTAGCTGTCTTTGGTGGTATACTAGCTATGTTAAATTGGCCCCTTGATGTATTAAATTAAACACTTTATGAATTAATCCATATGTTTTGTTTATTTTTTTTATATAGCTGTATTAGGCGGTATACTAGCTATATTAAATTGGCCACTTGATATATTAAATTAAACACTTTATGAATTAATCCATATACTCTGTTTATTTGTTTATATAGCTGTATTTAGTGATGTACTAGCTATATTAAATTGGCCACTTGATGTATTAAATTAAACACTTTATGAATTAATCCATATGCTATGTTTATTTGTTTATATAGCTGTATTAAGTGATGTACTAGCTATATTAAATTGGCCACTTGATGTATTAAATTAAACACTTTATGAATTAATCCATATGCTATGTTTATTTGTTTATATAGCTGTATTAAGTGACGTACTAGCTATATTAAATTGGCCACTTGATGTATCAAATTAAACACTTTATGAATTAATCCATTTACTCTTAAGTTGTGCAGTAGGTGTATTAAACGATGTATAAGATGTGGTCGATGTAAGTCCATAACTAGCTATGGGGATACCGAGGTCATATCTCAGTCGATTTTGTTGGCTTCCTTCACACACGCCCCCCAGTGGCACAGGGGTATGTCTGCGGACTTACAACGCTAGAATCCGGGTTTCGATATCCGTGGTGAGCAGAGCACAGATAGCCCATTGTGTAGCTTTGTGCTTAATTACAAACAAACAAATCCTTCACACACACACACACACACACACACAAACATATAAATACGTTACAGCTTGAAATCCAAGTTTGCTCTCGGCTATAGTGTTTGTTTGCTTGTTTGAATTTATGCACAAAGCTACACAATGGGCTATCTGTGCTCTGCCCACCACGAGTATCGAAACCCGGTTTCTAGCGTTGTAAGTCCGCAGACATACCGCTGTGCCACTGGGGGGCCGGTTGTAGTGATGGTTCCATAATACACAGATTTACTAGATGACCTTTTATTTGACAGCAGTATAAACAACCAGCAACCAACCCATCATTCAACAGTACGCAAGGTCTTATTGCTCAGCGTAGCCTTCTCAGCCAACTGTGGTGGAACAGGTACATTGACCGGCACGGGACCTAACCTCGTTCTCAAGGCACTTTATGACACGTAAGAGCATGCTGTATTTCAAATTATTCTTGTTTACAAATTTTTTATTTTTCGCTCTGTAAATCACTGTGCTCTATAGATGAAATATAACAAAAGATTGCATTAAATAGTATTGTAATTAAAACACTTACGCACTGATTTATCTAACAGCAAGGAAAATGCCAATGAATTATCATTTGTTTTTTTTTGTTTACTTTCTATGTAACAAATCTGCTTATATTTATAAAAAAATATATTTGGCATTTAAACTTTGTCTTCTGAATACGTTGGCAACATGACAACTGTAAGATCTCACATAGCTTTATTAAACCTAAACGCGTTTCTTTGTTAACAGCATGTAAGATACTTACATCAGTCATGTGAATTTGTGTTATTTAGATTTAAACTAATTTGACTATTTTTAATGTTTGAGTTAAACCACTGAATTGTGTTTTCATAGTTCCATTGCATAAAAATTCCATAAACATATTTATAACAGTTTATGTTACATAGCTAATGTTTCGTTGGTTAAACACATGAAATCGCACGCAAAACTAGAGCTAACAGCAAAGTACTAACTGTCGCAATAAAAGGAAGGCCGATTAGCTTTTCTTGTTTTCTTCTTAGAGATTAAAATATCCTTTGATAGCAAAGGAAAGACCCAAAAATTTGTAAAAGCAACAAAATCGTTAGACAACAAAAGACCTAAGGCTTTACGGTAACAAAGTCTGGCTTTTGAGTTGTAATGTATCTTCTCTACCTCCATGATAAATGGTTTCAATATGATCTGTAATTTACCTTATGAATACAGAATTTGAAAATGTAATTACAAACTACAAAGAAACGCCCACCAAAAGTTTCGCATGTACTTGGTTTATGTCTCCTACACTCCTTTCTGCTTTTAATATCATGATGAAAACAAAAGCTAATTAACTTGTTATTCTTGTAGGAATAATTTTGACTTAATGTGCTAAAACATGTGATTGTAAAGAAAGTGATACGGGTTTGAATCTATTTGCGCGTCACTCGTATCAATTCCTTTACAATCACACGTTTTAACACATTAAGTCAAAATTATTCTTACAAGAATAACAAACGGGTATTCAAATCGTTTGAATCTAGGCCAGATGTTCAATAAGGTACGATGAGAAATGAGAATAATTTGAACCATCAGTACTGCCTACACATAATCTCAATATAAGAACTGTCAAATGTAAACTTACAACACCAAAAATGTGCTGTAAGGAACGTCTGTGTGTGTATGTGTGGACAATATTGTATATATTATTCTTATCATCGTTGTTGACATCCTATCTAAATTTGGATCTCACAGAGATGGTAATGATATGTTTGTTCATGATTTTGTTGTGAAACTTTTTCATGTAAATACATCCGTAATATACGCGTCTTTTTATGTAGATCAGATTGCAAAATCTTTATTGTGAGAAAATTAATAAATTGTTAAAAGAAATAATGTGTCAAGATTGTTTTTTTAAATTATAATCATGTTACTGAACATCTTTGAAATAATCGCTTGACTTATAATTAAAGAGTCAAACATTAAGTTTAAATTATTGCATGATATTTAAATAAGCATCATTTTTCAGGAAGATTTACATATAAATGGTCAGAAAATGTAATTAACTAATGAATTACAGTCATGTTCAGACACGTTGACAGGTGGCATGTGCATCATCCTCTCTGACGTCATGGAGGCCTAGCAAAGTGCCCCTAGCAATGCATCCTCTGGTGACATTTTGTTGAACTATTACATAATCGTCCGTCGTGGCCGCCTGCCACGGCTGCCTAGCAACGCACCCTCTCTGATGACATCATTGTATCTACCCATTCCTTCCCCCTCCTTAGTGCCTGCTGTCGACACGCGTATGGTCCCCTCTGACTATGTGTCTCGTAAGTGCTGCCCTAATTACTAATGTCATGAATTGTAAAGACGCGAAGCAAATTTCAACAATTGTTCATTTGCGAACGAACGTTAAATGACCAATCATTTCCATCTCTAATAATAGAAAGAGTCATCATTTGTGTTATTTGCATACAAATGAATGCAAGAATGTGATTTGTGTTATCTTATGATACTGATTTTACCATGTATTAAATAAAATATTATAAATTCTAATTAAACTTATTGTTTGTACAGTTTATTTTGTCATCACGGATTTTAAATGATAAACACTCGCTCAAGTTTTCAATAATTTGTCTTTATTTTTAAAACTTGATCAATACATTATAATTTTTTATACATATTTTTTTTGCATGCTCCATTATTTTTACAGTTATTTTCCCCAGTCTAAAGACATTACATATGGATCTTGGATAGTTTACAACGTACCTGGGATGTTGTTGTATGTTTTGGTCGCATGGTGGTTTCTATTTTTCTATTTTACTGGAACTTAGTAAGTTCAAACCTTCATTAAAAACAACAATAAAAAGTATCAACTGTTCATTGAAAATAGTTTGTTATTTTGGAGAAATATATTTATATCTTTTTACTTAACAATTAATTATTGGTCATTACTAACCAGTAATCATATTCTTCTGTGTATTATAACTTTCTGTAAAAATCACAGTTTCTTTTATCAATGAAATTATATTATTTGAAATTTCTGTTAACAAAAGTAACAAATTATTGCTGAGATATCGATGAAATATTGGTACCTTACCTATTAAAAGTTCAAAATAAAAGTCAGAAAGAAAACTGACAGAATTGGAGACTATGACCATAGCTGAAAACAAAGTAATTAAAATAAAATATTGTTATGATTTATTACTTTAGTTGCAAGTCCAAAGAAAATGGAAAAAAACGCGAAGCTGTGAGAGAAGTTATTCTTCGAAAATACAACAGTCTTGATCAAATTAGGTGAGGCTAAATTCTTTCAGAAAGAAAACATGTTTATCTGATTTTGTACAAAAACTTTTACTTTATATTATTGTTCAAATAATACTTTTATTTCCGAATTTTAGCGCAGATCTACATATAGGTTTGTATGTTTGTTTGTTTTGAATTTTGCGCAAAGCTACACGAGGGCTATCTGCGCTAGCCGTCACTGATTTAGACTAGAGAGAAGGCGGCTAGTTATCACCACCCAATTGTGATTGAGTTTATTCCTATTTTTTTCTGCGCACCAAAAGTACGGAAACTTCATTTGATAGAAAGACATACTTAACTTTTATGTTGTTTTTTTAAATCTATTTCACCAATAGATCTTTATAACCTACAATTACGAGTCTCATTTGGTATAAATGTAAGCCAGATGTGCAAAGTTATTCAACAAAAATCGCTCAAATTTACGAACATTTTTGCGCACGTCTACGCAAAAGTCACGGAATCTATCGGTCTAACACTTTTACTACAGCTTCATCTAAGTGTAAAAGGGGCCTGTTTTTAGTTTTTTGTGATTCGGATTAGAAACGGCTGATTTAAAGTATTGGTCAGGCCAAGCATACTAGATTAGCAGTTTCTAGCTGAAGTTTTCAAAAGAATCGTACAGGTGGACGGTTATTGTTGATTATTCAGTGCCAACTTTTTAGCTAGCGTCACGTGATATTAGCTTAAGAAATTAGCATAATTAATGATGCTTGATACGGCTGTGCCGTTTGCATGGGAATGATGACAAGAAACTTTTAATCTAAATTTCATGGCGTTAGTATAAAGGAAGCTATTAACACTGTTTTAGAGAGGAAAACTACCACCATATATTTCAAAGAATCTGGTTGGTTCTGTAAAGTACAGGTCTGTTCCGAATGATAGGGTTGCGATCCTAAGGCTAATGTTGGTTACTAACGAGTGTCATTTTCGTATTTATTGTGTTTTGTTGGTGTGTGTTGACAAAAATGATATCTAATCAAAAATAGCTGAGGTGTGGAAAAAGGTGCGCCAAGAAAATGAGTGGGTGTGTAGCTACACTAATAGCATTGATAAGAATTTTACAGGAAATATTCATTCATTAGTTATCTAGGCTGCGTATTTTGTTTTACCCTTAGGTGTTCTTGATTAGATTATTATTGTAACACTTGTAATCCTCTGGATTTCTTTCTAGATACCTTTGTTCTTGTTAGTACCCTTATATTGTGCTTTAAAGCAATTTAAGACTACGTGTTTGTTTCTTTTTTTTTTGCTGAAACAGTGTTATAAGTTATAAAAAAATGAGTCTTTTTATTATTATTCAAACATGTTTTAGGTAGAGTTTGTTTACAATAGATGTTTTTCTTTATTTGCTTTACTTTTTTTTTTTCGTCAGAATATAAAACTCTTTTTTTTTATTCTTACAGTGTGTACAAAACATTATAATATGAACTTTTAGAAATATTTACACATATACAAAGAAATGTTTCATTTATACATGCATAAATTGGCTATTATTACAATGTTTAATATTACGGCCGGGCAGTGCGTGGCCCAGTAGTTAACCTATTGAACTGTCTATCTGAGGTTACATATTTCGCGCCCGTTACGGCCCCCCCAAAAAAATATCACTTTGAGGATGCGAGTACGTTATAAGAATGACGTTGAAATCCCAGTATTCGATTAGAGCAGCCATTAGTTGGCTGAGAGTGAGTGTACTAGCTGCCTTCCGTTTAGAGTCTAGAACTCTAGACTATCGCTTCAAACTTAAGGAAGGCTAGCACAGATATTCATCGAATAACTTTGCGCAAAATTTGACAAAAACAAAAAAAGAGCACAAAAACAAGAAAACATTGCAGCCTATATTGGAAAGAAAAATATAATTAATCATATTGAGATTTTAAAATATTTTGTTCCATCTTGGAGTGAACGTTTTAATTTTAAAACAAAGCCAGAATTAAAGTTTTAATATTTCGTTGTTTATAAATTTTAACTAGCTGAGAAATTTTTATTTCTTTTTTGTTCTGTCCAAGCTCCATCAGAAAACAACAACAAAACCTAAATACTTATTACTAAAATACTGTATACACACACACACACACACATATCGCTTGGCATCCGATGAAGTGCCTTTTCTGTTTTTGTATTTTTGCGAAAAATGTCTCGCGACACTATCGTTCAAACCAAGAATAATTCGAAACAAGACCAGAACAAGCGGCACTGTTGTTAAAATAAGCGGTACTGTTGTTAAAATAAGCGGTACTGTTGTTAAAATAAGTGGCACTGTTGTTAAAATAAGCGGTACTGTTGTTAAAATAAGCGGTACTGTTGTTAAAATAAGCGGTACTGTTCGTTCGTTTGTTTCAGGCAGTATTTTGATTTAAAAATAATTATTTCAGAAGAAATAATTACTAATCACGGGTGCTCGAAGATTAAGCAATCCTCTTTCACCCCGCGCGTGGCCTAGGAATATGGGCTTAAATTGAGAAACAGGAAATTAATGCTGTAAATTTAAAAAGGTAAACGTAAAAGTAAAAAGTAGAAAGTAAAGAGAGAAGGGCAGCGCCGAGCGAGTAAGCGGTACTGACTTTCAAACTGCTCTTTTATGGCTTACCCTGAAAATGACAATTTGCACAGCTTAATCAGAAGGTGTTAAGTGGGCGTGGCAGAAAGTTCACGATTGTGGGCGTGTTTTTTTAATTGAACAGGAGTGAGGATAGGGTGATTCTAAAATTGTAATGATGCGTAGGCTGTTCATTGAACAAGTCAATCGGCGAAACTACCACTAAAGCTATTTTACTGTGTTGAAGTCAGCTATTATAAAAAATACAAAAACAACAAAAAAGCGATTTCTGAGTAAAACAATCCTAAAAAAAACACAACGTGCGACTCTTAAAAAAATTCAAGCGACTTTTAAAAAGAACAAACCCATTTCTGTTTATTATAAGCATATTTGGCAATTATATTCAGTCGTCAAACCGGCTTAGAACCGTCTTGTGATAGGTCTAACGTTTCCATCAGAATAAAATTTAGGTTAATAAGCAAAATAAGGTACGACTTCCACTCTGGTTTGCTTTTAGTTATTAAATAGAGTCGAACTAAACAAGGATAGACGTGTTTGTATTTTTATATTAACTCTTCTAAGGAGGTTTACAACAGTGTCCAGATACTATAAGATAACGTAAATACAGTGACTTCTGGTTATTTTATTCCTTTTTTTTTTGCTAGTGTGAGTTAAAATAAAGCTCAGTGAAATACAAAATTGGAGTTATTATGTTATATGTAGAGTTAGTGATGTGTTTATTTATCTTCTTAGTTTCCACGAAACTGCTGTGTTAATACTGTTTATATTACTGATACTGCTGTGGCTCATGAGAGATCCTGAGTTCTTACCCGGCTGGGGTCCTGCTTTGAGCTCTGATGTGTGAGTTTGTGGTATTTTTATTGCTTTTGATAAAACAATTTCCTATGAAGACGAGTAAAAAAGAATTTAAAAAAATCGTTTCATGAAGATGTTTTGAAAATGTCAGTTCATCAAAATTGGGGTTACTTAGCTACCTAGAAATGTGTCACATTTTTTAAGAAGCGGGTGTTTAGTTTCCATTGAGAACAATATGTTAAGCGTATTGCGAACGAGGTGTTTAGTATTCATCAGATTTATCATTAGTCAACCATCATCCATTTATACGTTAAAACTCATTTAGTGCCAGTGTGTTTGTGAACTCTTTATAAGAATTCTCCCTTAGGTGATGGTATAAAACCTAATTCTCATAGAGACACCTCAGTTATCCACAAACTGTACAATATTTCAACCTTTCACTAATAATGAAATCTATTTTTTATAACAGCTGTTTAAAATAATATTCTAAAAAGTGCTTATATGCAAATTCTTAGAAGGCTTTCAACACAAGGAAGTAGAACTCTTCAAAATCCAATGAGGATTCAGAAGAACTGTACTCCCGATATCTCATTAACAGGGTAAGGTATTTTTAATCTTTTGTAAAGTTGCTGAATATTTAATACTGAAAACACACTACTTCTCATTCCAGACACATCGATGACGCTACTCCAGCTATTTTTATTGCTTTGCTATTATTTATTATTCCCGCTAAGCCTTCTCAACTGAGATCTAGCCCACCATTACTGGATTGGAAAACAGCACAGAACAAACTGCCGTGGGGAGTTTTGTTCATTTTAGGAGGAGGGTTTTCCTTGGCTAAAGTTTCAGAGGTAAAGTTTGAATATCATTTTGATGCAATTCTAAAATTTATTGATTGAATATGTCATCCTTTTCAACATGAAATTGCCTTGTTGCACAAATATAGTACACATCTAGAAGTGATATTATCTCTAGTTTGAGTTATAAATTGTGTGTAATGGGTTACTAAATTCAAATTATTTTCTAGTTAAAGCCAGCTTAACCATATTTTAAATGCAAATATTAGTTTATCTCCTTATACTTATCACGCAAACAAGATAGTTGATCTTTAAAAGTTGTGTTTCGTCTCCGTTTGTTAATTGATTTTTCCGTAACTTCGTTCCGACGAAACTTT